CTCCGGGGGAAGGAGTGGTGCGGTCACCATCTCCTGAAGAGCAGGATCCAAGAACTCCGGGTCGCCCGTCCCAGGGACGCCACCTGCCCTGGCGGTCCACGGGCTTGGCAGGGGCGGAGGCGGGCTGCGCTGGTTTCCTGCAGCCAGCTCCACGCTGCGGCCGTTGTGAAGGCTGCTGCTGTGGCCACGCCGGAGCGGGAGATCCCAATTCGTCAGTCACGACTGACGTAACGTCGAACGTGACTGACTGAAAGGGAACATCTGTTGCAGAACCTCAATTTCATCCTCATGAATGTCGTCAAAAAGACCCTTTTCTTCAGACGCTGAGGAGAGAGACAGGAAGTGATCGGTGAATTCAGAAACATCCACAAGTGCATTTTGCATTACATTATGTGATTTAAATGCAGTGTTAAATGCATAAAGTCTTTATTTTTGTTTTCTTTGCGCACAAAATGTATTCTCGTAGCTTCATAAAATTACAGTTGAACCACTGTCACATGGACTATTTTAATGATGTGCTTACCACCTTTCTGGTCTTTGAATGTGTCAGTTGCATTGCTGTCTATGCAGGGTCAGAAAGCTCTCAGACTTCATCAAAAATATCTTCATTTGTGTTCTGAAGATGACGAATGTCTTACGAGTTTGGAACGACATGAGGGTGAGTAATTAATGACAGAATGAGAGCTATGCCTTGATCCCTAACTTCTTGAACTAAAATAACTACAATAATATTTTTTAACTAATAAAATGACAAAACCACTGAACACTGAAAAAAAAACTTTAAAACAAACAAATAAATGAAAATGAATGCTAATATATCAATACTCAATAATACTAAAATAACATGAACACAGACTCTTTGATACACAGATTATACCTGTGTTATTTCATATCTGTGAAAATAAAACTCACCTGTTGTCTGGCTCCTCTCACAGGTGTCGCCTCTGCGTGTGTAACCCACTGCACACTGACAGTGAAAAGAGCTCTCTGTATTTACACAGAACATACTGACCCTAGGACAGGCCAACACCTCCTCAGCGCACTCGTCTATATCTGCAGGAGAAACAAAATACAGAATACAGAAACAAAATACAGCTGCGTACATATACACGTAATGCAAATTTAAAAATGAGATAAACAGACAGCTTTATAGTTATATATACATATCAACTTTATAGTTACAATTATAGAACAAATAGACAGTTTTGTTGCAAAATACTAAATATTTAAAATAACAATGTATGTATTGAAAAATTATAATTAGTGTTGTTGTTCTTGACATTATTGGTGGAAATGCTTCTTGTAGCCACAAGATGGTACCATTGCAGAAGAACTAATATGTGTCATCATTACAGACAAGATTAATTTTCTGTTCTTGTATGTTTTCAAGCTCGATACAGCAGCAGCAAATTCCCAAATGAAACTATAATATATTTTAAATGAATTAGTCCAGCCATTAGTAGTATGGCAATCAAGATTAAGGAACTTTTTTACATTATTCAGCAAAACAAAGCAAGTCTAAAATGGGATTTGAATGGGAAAATATAAAAACATACTTAGAAGTTCTAATTTATTTCAAATTATGTCCTTTTATACATTTAGAATGGTGATGTCTTCAGGCCGATGTTTGCCAGATGTGACACTTTCAGCTGACAAAAACAATTAAGATGTTTGTTATCAAATTACCTAACACTAGTGTTTTTACCCAGCTAACAAGGAACATTCTCAGAACTTTAGGTTCGTAACTTAGTGAGAACATTGGCAAACATTTTTAGAACATATCTTTTCATTTTTTATACTACTACCCATATTTTATACAACGGGTTGAAAAACTAGACAATACAAAACTAGTTATACCTACCTGAAAAACTAAAAAGCAATTTATTTCATTTGTAGGCCTATCGTTATTTTTTATTTGTGCTATCATTAGTAATTTCTTTATTTGTTCTTATTTTATTATTAACTGCTTAGCCTCCTTGTATTTTTTTATTCAATTCAAAGTTTTAAATCAAGCTATCTGGTGCTACTGCAACAAAATTACCCAGCTGTAAAATCAAAAATACACTGAGTGAGCAAAACTTTGTTTAATTACCATTATAACTAGCTATCTCACAATGTTTACATATGAATAAAAGCCTACATTCAAATCTGTCATATAAATTGGTCTTTTCATTAGAACTGATTGCCACCATTGATGGCCAAATTGTTTTTATAATATTAAAAATATCTGTATGACAGTATAATTTGCAGTTCTTCCCTGCTGTACCAAATATCTATACTTTTCAAAGTATCATATCGAAGTTAGAAATTCAAATATTGTGACAAAATTCATTTTGTAGGGTGCCACAAATTTGTTAAAATTTCCAAAGGGTGCCGCGACTAAATAAAGGTTGGGAAACACTGATATAGACTACAACTCACCTATGCATCTCATGCCTGATGATCTGTAACCAGCAGCACATTTCCTACAGCGGGCAGGTCCTCCACCCATACAACCAACACAGGCCTTATCACATCCTGAAAAAGGACAAATAATAAAACAACTTGGTTACACATTATTTAAAGGTGTCCTTATTACAGTGTAATTATATATTTACTGAGTAATATTAATTAACTACATGTACTTACTATATGCTTAGGTTTAGGATTAGGGTTTGGGTTACTTGCATGTAATTATGCATAATTTGTTGTTATTAAAATAGCAAGTGCATGTAACGTGTAACAAGGACACCATAAACTAAAGTGTACTAACAGCTTTTATACTGTATTAAACCACATATCATATTAAGTGCATGTGTAAAATGTGTTACTCTGCTGATCCATGTGTTGAGGAAAAACCACGCTGACCTTTGCATTCATAAGAGCCATGGGTGTTGAAGCAGTATGTGTTGTCGGGACACCGATCCAGATCAGTACCACATTCATCGATATCTGTCCGTGTAAGAGTGTAGATGTGAACTTCAGAGTGAAATAGACCATGAGGTGAATCAAGCGTACAGTCTGTTCATCTCACTCACCCACACAAAGGTTGTCATGCAGGATGAATCCAGTGTGGCACTGAAGGCACTGGGCTTTCTCTGGGCCCCCGCATGCTTTACAGTGCTCTGAGCAGTTCTGACCCGAAATTAGATGAAAAATGGCCACGCAGAGCACAGCAGACAGGAAGAACATCCGTGAGGGTGACGTGCTTCAAACCCCCACTTTCCACAAAGTTTATTGTTAGAATGACATGGGATGCTTTTAAAATCAGGAATTTGTTTGAAGAAAAAAAGTTGATTTCATTTACAATTAATTTCATTTACAAAGACATATTTATATATAGTATATTATGTTATATAAAAAAAAATCATAGTGTTTAAAGAGAAAGAACTTTGTTAAATTAAGCCAATGCTTTTATGAATCATCATTTTATACAATAGATTAATTGTTAGTGCTGCTTAGCTGTGATAATTATTCTCTAAATGATTGCATTTTTTAAAGTGATTTTAAATGTTCTAGTTTCACATGTTGTTATTACTGTAGCCTATATTGTACATTTTTCTTGTTTATTGTAATTTATTAGTTTAAATCTATGAATTGTATTAGTATTTATGTAAAAACAAAAAAACCTATAAGAAATTCTTGTTTTCTTTTCAAGTTTCTAAAGCCAAGTAGCTAAATATAACATTTGGAGTTGCAGTGTGAGTATAAGATTGAATTTTTTATTGATTTTTTTTTTTAGTTACGATATTAGTTTAGGGGGCGAAAGGGGCGACCTAAATTATATCTGACCATGCATGCTAAACCGTAATGCATTAAAACAAAATCAACAAGCAGAATGCAAAAGTTTAGAAAAGACCAGCATGGAATTTATGTTTTAAATACAAACTTTTAAAACCAGCAAACAGACAAGCCTGGTTGTGAATGTATGTAGCCTATGTATGTATCCCTGATAGGCGTCTATTTGATGTCTGCATTTACATCTGAAAGACGTCTTTTTTAGTGTTTGCTCATCTGCAATATGTCTATAGGACGTTATCAGATGTCAAATAGACGTTTATTAGATAGGCCTATCTTTAAGATGTTTATGATTTAGAATGTATGTAAAACTGACATCTTAAAGACCTGTGTCAGATGTTTGTACACAGCAGATGCTTTCCAGATCAAGCAATCTTTAACAGACTTCTTGCAGATGTGCTATCTGTTGGCTATATTCCCTCTATTCTATAGGCCTACCACTCATCAGACCATGACAAAGCACTAATGTCAAAACTGTATATTTGAGTACAACCAGAGCATTTCAAATGTACCGTATATTACAAAAGTTCAATTAAAATATATATTACAGCCATATATAAAATATGTGAATAGCAATATTTACATATGAAATTTGTGTATAGATATTAGCCAAAAGCCATTATTTACAACCATTGAATAAAAGCCGAGATGAAAACAGTAAGTTAGAGGAAATTTCCTTCCAAATACCTATGAAAACATAGGGGTATATACTGTATGTACAGTATGAATATGACGTATTTTTTAGTGTATTTATAAATTTCTTTACTTCCTATAGCGTCTGTACTGTGGAATTTCCTCATTTGGACTTTTAAGTACATGCAGACTTCCTTCTTAAGCTATTCCCAGCGATAATAGCCAGTTACTGTAAATATGTCTGTATTATGCCATATTCACGTAGTATTCAAAGGTACTTCATGATGGCATTTGGTATTTCCAAGCATGCTCATAAAAACATGGCATCACCATGTTTTTTGGACCTTCTGGTACTTTTATTGTTCATGTTATCTGTCCATAGTCCATACTGACAGATTGTGACTGACAATCAAAACAATGTTCTGGTGTGACAAGGGAGTAAATGATACATCAATGCTGTTCATTTTTGAGAAACATTCTTTCCTCTGTGTCTTCCGTGTCTAGGCTGAGTGAATCAAATTGAGTGAGCATGGATTCAGTCCTCACCCTCGACTTAAAAATGTTCTGCACTCCTTGGGCCAGCTTTCTCTGTGCCTTTTTCATCCACCACATCTTCTTCAACTTCCCGCTCATGTTATTTGGGCTCTCCAAACACAGTTCCATAAGTAATCCCTGAGACTGTGAGGGCAGTTTATAAAGCGGCAGGCCCCTCAACAGCTTTGGCATGTCATGCTCCTCATTGATGGGAAGTTCATGAACGTCTAACTGCACAAGGACGAACCGCTGAGCAGCGCAGCCCTTCTGACGGTCAGCAAAAATGCAGCCCAATGCCGAAGCCAGCATATCTGAGGAGTATGTGGCAGGATTGCTTCGTCTTTCCACTGCAATTTTCCAATACAACTCGGCTCTCTGCAGTGTTGTCGGAGAAAGCACCAGAAGGGCCTTCCCTCCATGATTTTGGATGTGATCGAGCTTAGAGTGGAGCCACGCGGCCGGGCCGCAAGAACCGAGCTCTGTTTGGTTCCACAGATCGAGAAATACTCTGAAACCCAGCTCAGAAAACAACTGGCCCAGCTCACACACCAGCTGTGGGTCCGTGGCTGAGGAATGGAGCAACAACACCTGTCCCCTCATATCTAGAGAGAGAAATGAGGAGGGCATGAGATTATCATAAGGTAAGTTTTCCTATGCTAAAAGGCTTCTTGATAATAAGACACACAAATGACTGTAAACAAACACCTTGTGTACCTTGAGAATGACATCTTCTGTCCCATTCGCTAAGCGACCCTGAGAGAGGCACATACAAGAATGTAAAATCTCATCAAAGGAGAAGACTTTCTTTAATACTTCAAGGAATAGTTCACCCCAAAATAAAAAAAAAATAAAAAAATAAATGCTGAAAATGTATTCACACTCAAGCCATCCGAGATGTAGATGAGTTTGTTTCTTTATCAGAACAGATTTGGAGAAATGTGCATTATATCACTTGCTCACCAATAGATCCTCTGCAATGAATGGGTGCCGTCAGAATGAGAAACCAAACAGCTGTTAAAAACATCACAATAATCCACAAGTGACCCACATGACTCCAGTCCATACAATAATGTCTTGTGAAGCGAAAAACTGTATGCTTGTAAGAAACTAATCCATCATTTAAGTTAATTCATTTTTTTTCATTAAGATGTTTTTTTTACTTCAAACCAATGGTTCCAGCTAAAATACAAGTCCTCTATCCATAATGTTGCTTTATTTCATCTCATCTGAATCAGGAGAGAAATATGCACAGATCAAGTACTGTTTACAAGTTGAAAACAGTTCTAAACAAATATGCAAGTGGATTTTAATGTGAGATGCCAACAGGGGATTTTTCACTGGAGGAAGTGTTATTATGGATTATGGACTCATATTTTGGCCAGAAGCACCAGTAACTTCTTATTGATGGATTTGTTTCTTACAAACATGCAGCTTTTCACGTCACAAGATTTTAATTGATGGACTGTATATGTGTGGGTTACTTGTGGATTATTTTGATATTTTTATCAGCTGTTTGGACTCTCATTCTGACGGCACCCATTCACTGCAGAGGGTCCATTGGTGAGCAAGTGATGTAATGCTAAATTTCTTCAAATCTGTTCCAATGAAGAAACAAACTCATCTATATCTTGGTTGGCCTGAGAGTGACTAAATTTGTATTCCTTAGAAATTTCACTAAAAAGAGTATAAGACACAAAAAGTGGTCAGATGGGTGAAAGAACACAAAATGAAGAAGGAGTTGAAAAAGACAAAGAGCCTGCTGAGATGGAATAAATGATTTCTACACAGATCACCACAAAAATATGTGCCATTCACAGACACACGTGAATAGAGCTATTGAGAGCAAAAAGAGTGTCTGGTCAACATCTCAACAAAAACCTCAACTCTATCTCTCTTTCACCATCTTAAATCCAATCAAATAATAAGAAATTACTGATCAGTCGTACTTTGACAGCACAGTGGTTATCAGTCTCTAGCATAAAATATTTTGAATTTACTTTGAGATTTTTGATGGATTTTTCAATAGCCACTTGCAATATCTAGAGCAGTGTAGCAAGTGGTCAAATAATGGCAATTAAATAAATATTGATCTTATTTTAATATTAATCTTTCAATCTATTTATATTAAAATATTAATTATTATGTATATATAATATTAAATCTAATCAGTTTAATGTGTCTTTGCTAAATTAAATATAGAATTGATGTATATATTTAATATAATTGTATTATTTTATATAATGAAATGAAATACATGCTGTATAATAATAATAATAATGGTGATTTTAGTTGGGAATGTAAGTCATCCCCTACATTCTGTTGTAGTTTCTTTGTTGCAGAAAGGAAAAACATCTTTCTATATACTTTCTATATAATCAAAGAGATGCTGTAGATAGCAAAGACTTACATTTGAGTTTGTTCACCAGGAGAAGTACTCCAAAAGCAGTCAGACAAACAAAGACCAGCGGCAGAAGAAGAAGAAGGCTCCAATACTGCCGCTCCACTAAAACAATATGAAGTGAACAATAAACCAACTGATGACAACTGCCATACCCATATTCAGTATAGTGAATGTTAGTTTTAGTACATCGAACACACAAATATCAATGTGATCAAATGACAATGAACGGCAGCTCTAAACAGGATATAAATGAGATGTTTTTCTCATCACACACTTACAGGGATGTTGACAGTACCGCGCAATCTTTCTATCTACTTCAAGCTGCAGACAAAGACACAGACAAAGATGAATGTTTACCATGTTCATTGTCTGTTTGCACTAAATGACTGATGAATGCAAGAAATCAAAAAGGCAGATGGTATCATACCATCACGCAGAGCTGCTGGTGATTCCGTGACCTGATATTCACAAACCTCCCTGATGCCTGCAGAGAACAAATATCATTAAAGCAAACTGCTTTATAGCCAACTGGAAAAACAATTATTAGCTTTGACCTCAGATGGAGCAAACGCCATATTTAATTTCACATGAATTAAAATGAAAGCCAACAAGGGTCCATTTAACATAATAGGTTGTTTTGCACCTGGGAGTCAATCATTCAGTTTCAAAAGTCTGGAAGTCACTATGAAAGGGAGCTCAATAGTGAAAATGCTTCTATTGTTGCATTCTTTCAAATTTAAATAATACAAAATTGTTGTCATTGACAATTTATGTTGCCCTTTTACTTTAATGTTTAATCTTCTTTAAATATTTATTTATTTTACATCAAAATGTCTTTCTGATATGGAAGCCTGCTTTCACCAAAGAATGAAAAACATTCAAAAGATAATTACAACTTTTTGTCTCACATTTCTGTCTTTTTCAAAGTCAGAATTCTAAGAGAAAAGTCAGAAATGCGAGATGTTAACTTGCAATTCTGAGATTTAAAAAAAAGTCAGAATTACATTGATTTATCAATGTACTGTATATATGTATTATTCATTTATTTATTTTTCTTTCCCATGACGGAAACAGGAAAGGTAAATAAATAAATACATGCATACAACTTTGTTTAAACGTGTTTTTTTTATTCTAAAAGCATTTATTTCCAGGTTTCAATTTAAAAATCCTAGATTTCAGTGTGGTGTTAGAGGTTATATATCCCACTGTTGCAGTGTTTCTACTTCCTTACAACCTCATTTAATTTATGACAGAAAATACATATACCCAAAATGTATATTTACCCATAGTATTGTGCTGTTTTCTCTCCAATCATTACAGCATTTCTGTCTGAATCCTTCAACTTCTGTGCATTTTCCATCTGCCTCGAGCTGACACGGCCACAGTTCGGCTCTTATCCTGCAGGGCACTGTGAAATTCCAGCTTAGCACTGGTTTACCATCATTTGTCTTGATGTGGGCTAAAGACACTGACATGTTGCTCAGGACATTGGCTTTAAATACTGCCAGTGGAAAAAAAATGTGGGAAGACAAAATAAATGAAGATGGTGTTGAACATCCTCCATATCCAAATCACTAATGCTAACTTTTATTTTTAAGAAAAGTGTAGATCTTAGATCAGTGATTCTCAACCAAGGAGCCAGGGTCCCCTAAGCGGCACTAGATTATTTAAAAATGATTTAAAATCTGACAAAACAAGTATTAAAATAATTTTCATGTAAATAAATGAAATCTTATAATGAATATATATCATACACTAGTTATTTTATAGGGTATAAATAAAAAAACAATTAAAATATTATTTTTTATAATTATATTTTACAAGTAATTAGAAAGCAATCCTGCCCCTAGTCAGTGGAAATTAATATTAATTGGTTCAGTCCCAACTGATGGCCTATAAAAAGGTGTCCTGTGATGAACCATGTACAGAGAGTTTGTCCACTGTGCGTTTAATTAGGGAAGAATAAAACTGATCAACAAAGACATTACTGTATGGATTAGACAAAACTCCTTGTGTTTCAGGTGAGAGCGGAGCAGGCAAGACTGAGGCAAGCAAGTACATTATGCAGTACATTGCAGCAATCACCAACCCTAGCCAGAGAGCAGAGGTCGAGAGGTCAGTTTTCTGGGGATACTGACAGCTCTGGACTTTTTAGGGCTATTTTTTATTTTCTTTTGTAGTTAATTTAGTGCTGGGCAACGATTAATTGCGATTAATCAGATCCAAAATAAAAGTTTTTGTTTATATAATATATAGCGGGTAAAATAATTATTGAACACCTATATTACACCTATATTTCTCAGTAAATATATTTCTAAAGGTGCTGTTGACATGAAATTGTCACCAGATGTCGGTAACAACCCAAGGAATCTATACAAAGAAAACAAAACAAATAAGTTCAGAAATTAAGTTCTGTGTAATAAAGTGGAATGACCCAGGGAAAAAGTATTGAACACACGAAGAGAGGGAGGTGCAAAAAGGCATGGAAATCCAAGACACCAGCAGAAATCTATCAGTAATTAGAGAGCAATCCTGCCCCTAGTCACTGGATATTAATATTAGCTGGTTCAGAAACCTTAAATTCTTAAATTCTCAACTGATGGCCTATAAAAAGGTGTCCCATGACCAACGTGTCACACAAGAAACATTTCATGATGGGAAAAAGCAAAGAGCTCTCAAGACCTTCGCAACCTTATTGTTGCAAAACATACTGATGGCATTGGTTAGAGAAGGGTTTCTATACTTCTGAATGTTCCAGTGAGCACTGTTGGGGCCATAATCCGGAAGTGGAAAGAACATAATTTCACCATAAACCGGCCACGACCAGGTGCTCCTCGCAAGATTTCTGACAAAGGAGTGAAAAGAATTATCAGAAGAGTTGTCCAAGAGCCAAGGATCACTTGTGGAGAGCTTCAGAAAGACCTGGAATTAGCATGTGCAATTGTTTCAAAGAAAATAAGTACAATAAGTAATGCACTCAACCGCCGTGGCCTGTATGCACACTCACCACGCAAGGCTCTATTGCTGAAGAAAAAGCATGTTGAAGCTCGTTTCAAGTTTGCTGTACAACATTTAGACAAGCCTGTGAAATACTAGGAGAATATAGTCTGGTCATATGAGACCAAAATTAAACTCTTTGGATGCCATAATTCACACCATGTTTGGAGGCCAAATGGCACTGCACATCACCCCAAAAACATCATGGTGTATCACTGGTAAAATTCATATAATTGAAGGAAGGATGAATGGAAAAATATACTGAGACATTCTTGATAAAAATCTGCTGCCATCCACCAGGATGATGAAGATGAAATGAGGGTGGCCATTCCAGCGAGACAATGATCCCAAACACACAGCCAAGGAACCTCTCAACTGGTTTCAGAGAAAGAAAGTAAAGCTTCTAGAATGGCCCAGCCAATCACCTGACTTGAATCCAAAAGAAAATCTATGGAAAGAACTACAGATCAGAGTTCATAGAAGAGGCCCACAGAACCTTCAAGATTTGAAGACTGTTTGTGTGGAAGAATGGGCCAAAATTACACCTGAGCATATGACTAGTTTCTCCATACAGGTGGAGTCTTGAAGCTGTCATTAACAACAAAATCTTTTGTACAAAGTATTAAATACATTTCAGTAAGCGTGTTCAATACTTTT